TATATATATATACATATATATATATACATATATATATATACATATATATATATACATATACATATACACATACACATATACATACACATACATACATACATACATACATACATATATATATTTACTTGTCACAGTTTTTATGGAACCTTCAGTTAAGTCAATCATGCAGTTGACAAGGGAAGCAGTTTCCCTCATTGACTTGACTTGTTGGAAGCTGGCTAGGAAGGTACGTAGGTCTCAAATTATGATCCCGAGGTGCTGCAATCATTGTTAATACATGCTGGTTGCAGAGCACCTGTCTGGGGTGCTGAGATGGTCGTAACTGTGAGGACTGGCTAGAAGTTAATTTCAGCGCTGTTGCAACTTCAGCTGCTAAACAAATGGTTGTAAATCCAGGACGGGCTATACTATTGAAATACTGTAGTATATTGGGAATTTCCCATTATATGGTTATGGGTGCTCATTTCTGGAGTGCTTTTATTTACTGTTAGTAAACCTTCCCTGTGAGAAGGCCTCCCTTGAGCGTACTGGGGAAAATAGCTGAAAAATGAGGCCAAACAACGTGTACAGAAAAAAATAGCTTAAAAAACAACAACATCATAAAAATGCCAGTTCAGTGGAAGGCTTGCAGTGAATGTAGCGTCTCTTGATGCTTGCATGCAATTAGCTTATTTTATGTTGTGCAAATGCAAAAAAATTCAACCTTGAAATCAAGTCATAATCAACATTTTGGAGCAATCGAACCTTGGCGTGGCTATTAATGTGATGGGCCCTCTCCCTCTTCTTAGATAGCTCTATTTTCGTGGCTTCAGATCCTTTTTGGAGTCCCTGCCAAAATGTGAAATTTGCTTAGAATTTGCTAAGGGCCTCTCATTCCCAGCATGCTGACTTCCCTTGCCCGACAGAAAGAACTGGATATCCAGCCTTGGAGTGGGGTAATGGTAAAAACATTGAAATGGGCCGTCCCTGGATAGTTCCAGAATGCCAAGTGACTTTGTAATGGGATTAAAAGGCTAGTGAGATTTGCTTTCAAGGGACAGCGCACTCTGCGTTACACAGAACGGCGAAGTGCTAGTGTGTGCTCCCATTAGAAAACGCTGCCACTCTTTAATTGACAGTTCATTTTGCACATTTGTAGTTTTAACTAGGAAAATTGCAGGCCAGAACATGGATCCTCTTAGCCAGTTAGATTCTGTTCTTAACAGAAAAAAATATATATTTAGGGCTGAGTATAACTCAGCACTTAATTTCCCTGCCAAGAAATTAAAAGACGCTCCTGGAGAGGAAAGCTGTGGCAAATCTAGACAACATATGAAAAAGCAGAGACATCATCCTGCCAAAAAATCAGTGTCTAGTCTATGGTTTTCCCAGTTGCAATGAATGGCTGTGAAAGTTGGACCGTAAGAAAGGCTGAGCACCAAAGAATGGAGGCCTTTGAACTGTGGTGCTCAGGAAGACTCCTGCGAGTCCCTTGGACTGCAAGGCCATCCAACCGGTCAGTCCTAGAGGAGATCAATCCTGACTGCTCTTTAGAAGGCCAGATCCTGAAGAGGAAACTCAAAGGCCTTGGCCACCTAAGTATTTGGAGAAGAACCTAATGCTGGGAAAGATTGAGGGCAAAAGAAGAATGGGATGCAGAAGCAATAGGAGGGAGCTTAAATGGACTCCAGAGGATGGTAGAGGACAGGAAGGCCTGGAGGAACATTGTCCACGGGGTCGAGATGGGTCGGACACGACTTCACAACCAACAGCAACTCTGCACTAAGCCATAATTGGCAATCCAGTGGGGATTTTTTTTGCAGCTAGGAACTGTCTTTTCCCTTGTTTACTACTAGGGAGTTGCAGATATTTTTAGCTGCTTTGCAAATTAGCATGGGGCTTTTTAATAAAAATAAGGTGGTTCTATGAAACCTTTTGAAAACCTTACTCAGTTGTACTATTGATCATGAAAGGGAGATAAGACATGCTTTATTAATGAACTGCTGCCAAAATTCAGCAGCTGATCTTCAGGGACTGCAAAAAGGACATTGCATCTTTTTGCTTTGTCCGCTGCTGACCCAAACTGGTACCATCCATAATGGCCGTGTTAAGATCTCATGCCATGGCAGAACCAAACCACATACCTAGAGGACAGATAACTGGCAATTTTATCTTCCTATTATTGGAGAATTAAAGGTGATAACACAGAAAGTTGAATTTGGGTACAAGGGCAGAATATTTTTTGGAGGCACCCTAGTCTCATTTCCTTCCTTTTAAAGGCCACTCAAATTGTGTCACTGAAATGAGGCAAACGGGGGCTGAACCGTGATATGGACTTATCTCCCACTCCCCTTTTGTTTTTTGAGTGGAATTTCAATCACACTGCTGAAAATAGACTTACATTATTTTTATCCTGCCTTTTATTGTTTTGATAAACTACTCAAGGTAGCAAACATGTTTAGTACTCCTCCTATTTTCCCCACAACAACCACCCTCTTGAGGTGGGCAGGGCTGAGAATGACTAGCCCAAAGTCACCCGGTCAGCTTTCATGCCTAAAGTGGGACTAGAATTCACTGTCTCCTGGTGATTGGCTCAAAGTCACCCAGCAGGCTTTCATGCCCAAGGTGAAACTCAAAACTCAAAAGCTGTTTTCTGTCCTGGTGACTTAACAGTTAAACCCCAAGATCAAATTGGCCGTATATTTAACTGTGGCACTTAAGTAGTATGGTCTCGGGATGCAAGAAAAATTGTTTAGTGTATAAAGACAGCTGTTGTATCTTAATACTATAAAATGGTCTTTTTATAGATGGGATCCTGTAGCATCTTCTCTAGAAGTGCTATTCTCCAGCTGTGATGGGACGATAGTTCCTACACATCTGGAAGAGACCGGTAATCTACATGAGAGGGTGTCGGAATTTGTGGCATTTTTAATACTTTAAAGTATTTTTTATTTGGTTAGAAAACTAGGATGTTACTTCTGTGGCTTTTGCTTTACTTGCTCATTGAATATGTGGTTATATATGTACCCTCTCCACCGTCCAAGCCTTCCGCACAGCCCTGAAGAACTGGCTCGCCCGNCCCCCGCCTCTCTTCCCAATGGGTTCTGCAATTTCCTCGTGGCATTATGGGACGAAACAAGATGTAGGGCGAGAAGAGCGAGAGGAGAATGCTACGTCGCCGTGGGACGAGGCTTTGCGGCAACCAATCGGGGCGCGGCGTGGCTGAGCCACTGCAAGGGGTGGGACAGCTATTTCAGCGCTGGAGGTGGGAGGGAGGGGGGGAACGGGGCAGCTCGCCAGAGGAGGCTTGCTGGGGGAAAGGAGCGGAGGGCGTCGACGGTGCTGCTGCTGCTGTGCTGAAAGCTCCCCCTTCCTCTCTCACCACCGCCGCCGCCGCCAGCGCGCTGTGCAAGCCGCGCTCCAGACGCCTTTGGCTCGGCTGGCCGGCCGCTGCGCTTGCTCCCCTTTTGACACCCCCGGGCAGGAGAAGCCAGGAAGCTGCTTGTTTGTAGGGCTGGTGGAGAGAGGCGCTGGGGGCGGCGGGGCGCCTTGCAAAACCTTGCCGTTTGCAGGGAGGGGGACGCCGGCCAGGGGGCTGCCGTCGTTGACGCGGGTTTCCCAGAGGCGAAGCAACTGTTAAGGGTAAGCGGGGTGCGCGCAACAACTCGGGGTTGGGAGGGAGAGATTCCCTGGGCAATCTTGCATTGGCGTTTTCCTTTGCATCGCGAGTAACGTTTGGTAAGGCGCAAATCGGGTTGGGTTGTCGTCGGTCAGGGCGAGGGGGGGTTGGACTAGATGACCTTTAAGGTCACTCCCGACTCTTGTTAATCTGAGACGGTGGGAGGAATTTAACCCAGAAAGGTTCAAAGCGATGCTCCGAGCCAGAAGAAGCAGCGGCGAGGGTTTTTTTTAAACTGCGCTTTCCCTGCTTTGCGCGCGTTTTGTTTTGGTCCACGCCCCTCGCTTGCTTGCCTCCCCTCCCCAAAAGCCCCCCCCCCGTAACTCTTGGAGGCTGGTTGCTGGGAAATAGAGACCCCACCCCCACCCCGGCGCTGTCCCAGGGGGCAGCCGACACCCAGGCTCCCAAAGCTGCCGCTCCCATCCACTTGGGCTTACCTGGGGGATATATTTGGGGGGGAGGTCGTTGCGCTTTGGGGTGTCTCTGCAGGGTTGGGGTAGTTAGACGCTCTGCTTTTGGGGGGCGTGGGGGGGGGAAGAAATCCCGCAAGTCTGCTACGCACGACCACCTACCCATCCGCCCCCCCCCCAGCCTCAACTTTCCCGGCTTGAGGATGCTTGGACTCCACCTGTCATTTTAATCTGTCTCTAGTAGTCTTCATCTTACCTGTCCATTGTGACCCACCTTGTCTGAAAGTCTGTGACTTTCTTAATGGATGTCATGGGGAAGGCAGGTCCCGTTCTGACTTTCCTGACCCCCTCCCCCTTTTCCACTGCATGGGTTTTTTTTTGAATGGATGGGTACCCCTGATCTGAATCCTGTCCATTCTGATCTGCATTCTCCTAGGCTTCCTCCAACCTTCCTGTGTCCTGTTAGAGAAATCTAAGCTTNTCTTATACTCCGAAAAATACGGTAGATACAAATTTAGATGAAAGGGTTGATAGGGAAACAGTCACCATCTTAAAAGTGTTTACAAACTAGAAAGGGGCAAAAAATTGATTCTTAAACGTACACCTCTCAAAAGAGGCCTCAGCTTTGTAGAAAATTGGGTTCAGTTGTGCGGAACAAAGTTTTGTGGTTCAGTTCATAAGCTGCATTTATCAGAAGACGATAAATAATTCTTTAGAGATCACAGTGGCTGGCTTTGGATAGCATTCTAAAACCATGTTAAATCATGGTTAGGGATAAGGGTCCGGGGTCTTGCCATCCCTTGGAGGGTGGTTCACTAGCATTCTAGTGTTTAGGTGCAATAATATATTTGCTACTTTATGGTAAATGTTATTTTACAGAGCATACACAATTCTAGGATAAATTGAGATTTGCTAGTCTTGCCTGTCTGGGTTTTGAGGGTTTAAGATTGAGGTGTATTTGTGCTTATGCGTAATGCTTGACTGAAGTTATGTGTAATGCTTGACTGAATCAGTTAGCTGATTCTCCCACTTATGACTGCTGCACCATCCCTGTGGTCATGTGATAAAAACTCTGGTCACTGTCTATTTATGATGGGTGCATCAGTCCAGGTCATATACAACCTTCCCAGCTGACATCGGACAAGCAAAGTCAATGGAGGAAGCCGGAATTGCTTAAGTTATTTGCATGATTAACTGAACAACCAATAAAGAGAATATTTGTAGCTCAAGGTTGAGGTCCTTGAAACTCTCTGAGCTTGGTTGTTTTCTTGCATTACCCAAACGGATTATGTTACCTAGTTGGGTAGTGAAAGGTCTGCAAGAAAACAACCAAGCTTAGAGAGCATCAAGGAGCCCTCACTTAACAACTACAGTGATTCTTTTTTAACAACTGCCTTGTTTAGCAATGGAAATTCTAACCCTAATTACGTGGAGGACTAGCTATAATTACTAACATATGACTGGAGTTGAGGAAAAAAAATTGGGCTTAACTAGTGCTTATAGGTCAACTTGAACACAGAATAAGAGATAGATTAGATTAGATTAGATAGATAGATAGATAGATAGATAGAATATTGATAGATGATAGATTGATAGATTGATAGATAGAGTGATAGAAGATAGATGGATGGATGCATGGAGGGATGGATGGATAGATGGATGGATGGATGATGGATAGATAGAAGATAGGAAGGAAAAGAAAGGAAGAGAAATAGTGAATGGTTTGACAGTGGTGAGGGGATTACTTGTTTAGCAGAGTGATGGCATGGGGGGGATTGTTCTTGTGTCTTGTTCTGATGTGCAGTGCCCTATAACGTCATTTTGAGGCTAGGAGTTGAAACAATATATGTCCAGGATGTGATATTTTCACGGCCCTCTGACTCATGCAGAATACAGATCCTCAATGGAAGGCAGGTTGGCAATAGTAGTAGTTTTTTCTGCAAGATCCTTGGAGGTCATCTAGTCCAACCCCCTGATCAAGCAGGAGATCCTTCCTATACTAGTTTGGAGAATTGTTAGTCTTTGCATATCACAACCTGACTTGCTTCAGATACTAATAGCTCTGGCTGAGAGATAGAATTGATAAAAGGGAGGCATAATCTATGTACCCTGTGCGTCTCCAGGCAGTGCAGCAAACTTTTTATTTATTTATATGCAACATTTCCTGGCCTTTCTTCTAACATGAGAGCACCATAATTACTTGCAAGGGAAGTTAAAGCCAACATGTGTCACGATGTAAATGGACACAACTTGCATCAGATGTCCCTTGGGTTAACATTTGCATAGAGATGTTATGGTGCATGTATTATTTGATGTTGCTTATTTCAGATACTTACATAAAAAGCATAGGTGGCTCAGTAGCTAAGACGCTGAGCTTGTCCATCAGAAAGGTCGGCGGTTTGGTGGTTCGAATCCCTAGCGCCACGTAACGGAGTGAGCTCCTGTTACTTGTCCCAGCTTCTGCTTCTGGCAGTTCTAAAGCACATAAAAAATGCAAGTAGAAAAAATAGGAACCATCTTTGGTGGGAAGATAACAGTGTTCCATGTGCCTTCGGCGTTGAGTCCTGCCGGCCTCATGACCATGGAGATGTCTTCGGACAGTGCTGGCTCTTCGGCTTTGAAACACAGATGAGCACTGCCCCCTAGAGTAAGGAACAACTAGCACATATTTTTATTTTATTTATTTCATCAAGCATGTATTAGATTATATATCTATATAGATAGATTATATATTATATATGACACTAAATCTATCTATCTATCTATCTATCTATCTATCTATCTATCTATCTATCTATATAACTATAAACATGATTTTGAATACATGAAATGGGTACGAATAAAAAGGAACATTTGGACAGGGACGGTAGGCACTTCAGTGCGCTTATGCACGCCCCTTACAGACCTCTTAGGAATGGAGTGAGGTCAACAGTAGAAGTCTAAGGTTAAAGTTTTGGGGGCTTGGGGAAGAAACCACAGAGTTGGATAGTACATTCCAGGCGTTGACCACTCTGTTGCTGAAGTCGTATTTTCTGCAATCGAGTTTGGAGCGGTTTACCTTGAGTTTGTATCTATTGTATGATCATGTATTGTTGTGATTGAAGCTGATATATATGCGAGGGGAATTTTTACCTTTACATAAAAAGCATTGCATGGATTTTAGGCTGAGAAGTATCTGCTTGGTTTTCCTGACAATATTTTTGTATTCTTTGAATCTCTTGGTCTTCCTGCAAACCATTTGATAGGTCCCAAAAGGCTATCAGTAGTGTCAAATTGGAGATTTCTCTCTGTGATAGAATTTTAGTTTGTTTCAACCATTATTCCTTGAATAAAGCATAGTGCTGAGTTGGCACATTGGATGAATCCTCTATTTACAACCACAGTGAATCAGTTTATATACATGCTAAGCCAAAACCATGCTACTGATTAATGCAATGAGAATCCCCCTCACTTGAATTATCAATAAATTAGTATGAATTAATTGTGGTTTGTTCATCCATAATGAACTTGCTCACACATCATGGCATAATGTAATTAGGTTTTAATATGGTAGATATGAACAATGTCACCAGTCAGGTGAGTTCACAGAACTGCTAAATAGACATAACAGGTGAGAATTTCAACAGGACTCGGGACAGTTAATCTAAAGTACAGGTAGTCTTCAGTTTACCAACCGGAATAGGGACTAGGAATTTCTTCATCAAGCATGGACATTAGGTGAATAATCATTGAGGCCACACCCTTTTCTGCAAACTTTTTTTTGCTGTGTCTATGGAGATTCCCAGTCATCCAGGTCATGGTTGTCCCAAAGATTTTTTTTTTTCAAGAGGCAACTGGACTTTCTGGTTTTTCTTTGAAGACATTTCACTTCTCATCCAAGAAGCTCTGACTGGGTGGTTGAGAATGGAAGGATTTATGCTCCTTGCAAGACAGGTGGCTATTTGGTTGAACAAACATAAGATTCAGCAGTCCATCTGCATTTAAAAGACAAAGGCCACATTTTGGACAGAGGAAAAAACCCTGCTGGTTTAAAACTGGTTTGAAAGAGGGGTCAAAGAAGGCCATCTATGTCAACAAGAGGGGTAGAGATATGACACCATCTATCTCCTGTCTACAAACACAGTCCTTTCAGCAGCTCCAAGAAGACTCCTCACCCATTTGCACCACTCAGGTGACCCTGAAGATACAGGTAAACCTCCAGGTGGTCTTAATGTCTCACTAAAAGAATGCAAACGACCAGCTGTCTGCAAGGAGTGTGAATCCTTCCATTCCCCACCTTTTGGGAGGGTTGCTGTACTCATTACCACAGTCATTGAGACACTGTGATGATGACTTGTGACTTTCCTTGCTCATTTTCCCATTGACATCGTCTGAAGCAGGCTGGGAAGACCACACATTACAATCGCATGACAGCAAGATGCTGCAACCATTGGTACAACATAAGGACCACTTGCTAGTCACATTGTTCAGCACCCACCGTGACTCACCCAGTTGCTAAGCGAATGGTTGTTGAGGACTACCTCCAGGGTGCATTCTTTGTGGACTAGTGATTTCTCGAATTTGTGTAGTTGCCCCTGTGCTCTTGTGAGAAATAGCTCCTGTGTTTAATTGGGGGGGGGGTGTTGAATTTCCCATTAACATCAAAGAATAATGGATATTCTTTCATAGATATGGAATTTCCTGCTTCCTCTGTAGACTGACCTGTAGTTAATGAACTGTGTAATTTCCTGCTTCCGTTGTAGAATGGCCTGTAGTTATCCGTCCTCTCCTTCAACAGATAATAAAAGCAAGGCTGTAGGTTCTGGGTGGCTTTTTTGGAATTACATCTTGAGATGAATATTACACTGAGTTGGGCTCCCTCTCCTGTATCCTCCCACAGGTCCATCATGTCTGACAGAAAGGCTGTGATCAAAAATGCTGACATGTCTGAGGACATGCAGCAGGATGCTGTGGATTGTGCTACGCAGGCCATGGAGAAGTACAATATAGAGAAGGATATTGCAGCATACATCAAGAAGGTATGTTTCTGTCTGCGAAGCGTGATGGGATGGGGTTGTATAAGCCTTGCACGTAGTCCTTGACTTGTGACCCTAATAGGTCAATCCTTATGCCTTTTGATAGCAATTGCTATCTGACTTACTTTATGACTGTCACAACTTACAAACATTAGCCACGGTGGTGCAGTGGTTCGAGTGCAGTACTGCAAGCGACTTCTGCTGACTGCAATTTGGCAGTTCAAATCTATACCGCTTCACAGTGCTTTACAGCCTTCTAAGCAGTTTACAGAGTCAGCCTCTTGCCCCAAACGATCTGGGTCCTCATTTTACCCACCTCGGAAGGATGGAAGGCTTAGTTAACCTTGAGCGAGTCAGGATCAAACTCCTAGCAGTGGGCAGAGTTAGATTGCAATAGCAATAGGACTTATATACTGCTTCACAGTGTTTTTATAGCCCTCTCTAAGCAGTTTTTACAGAGTCAGCCTCTTGCCCCTAACAATCTGGGTCCTCATTTTACCCACCTCGGAAAGGATGGGAGGCTTGAGCTTGGTGAAATTTGAACTGCCAAATTGCAGTCAGCAGAAGTCGCCTGCAGTACTGCACTCTAACCACTGCACCACCGTGGCTAATGTTTGTAAGTTGTGACAGTTCATAAAGTGAGTCGTCCCATGACTGAGCCAATTTCACAGTTCGCTTGTGTTAAGTGAATCACTTCGGTCATGAAACAAATTCATTGTTTGCAACAGGGCAGTTTTGCTGAAAATAGGAAGTAAATGTCGCATGTCAGTGAAAACGCAAACATCCAGGCCAAAGGTATCTTAAAAGGTTGAATTCATGGCATCGGAACCAAAATGTATTAATCTCGAGACCTTTTATTGCTCAGCCAAATAACTTCATAAGCCAAAATAAAAAAAAGATTAGGCAGCGTCTCGTTGGAATGTACCAACTCTTGCTGCAACAACTTCAGGGGTTTCTCCCCAAAGTTTATTTCAGTAGGTCAATGTGAAGAAAATGTTGGTTTTCTGCAGAAAATAATTCTGGTCACATGACCATGGGATGGTGCAAATAGCCGTAAATGTTGGCTAGTTGCCAAGTACCAGAAATGCAGGCACATCACTGAAGGGGGAGCAACATTGGAAGTTTGAATCTGGGTTGTAAGTAGCTTTTGGGAAGATATATTGTCATTTCAAACAGTCACCAAGGAAAAACCTCAAGCGAATTTAAAAAGCAGTTACAAGCTTTTCCGTAACTGACGCATTTGATTTAGAAGATTCTGCCTGATTATTATAGAAGGGAAGTTTGCCCATCACAGCCTGGTTTCCTTAAGCAAGGAGTCCTAGTCAACCAGCATTTCTGGCTGGGGAATTCTGGGAGTTGAAATCCACGCATCTCAATAGTTGCGTTTGAAAAAAAACAGTCGTAAACCATGATTAGTGTCTCAATACAAAATAATTAAACCAACACTGAAAAAACATTCAGTTTTGCATCCTGCATTCAAAACTGCATTCAGTTTTGGTCGCCACGAAGTAGAAAAGATGTGGAGAGCCGAGAACAGTGATAGTCAACTGGATCCCTACCGCCCACTAGTGGGCGTTCCAGCTTTCATGGTGGGCGGTAGGGGTTTTGTCCGATACTGAAGCACTTTCCTTTTTTTTTATTTAATTGGCTTTTTAAAAAAAATCATAGCATTATTTAAAAAT